TCGGGTCGTCTGGTGCTGGAGCGGACGAGGGGGCCCTGCCCAGTCCAGCTGAGCCACCGCCCCTGCAGTTGCAGCAGCCGCAGCAGCCCCGCAGTCGCAGCCTTCGCAGCAGCCGCAGCAGCCGTCGCAAACGCGGCAGACGAGTGTCCTCCCGCCCGGGTGGCCCGGCGCTGGCGGTGGCCGGGCGCGTGGTGGTGTGCCGAGTGGTGGCTCTGGAGGCGTGCGTTGTCAGTACCAGATCCAGACCGGTCCTCGCCGCGGCTTCGTTTGCGGTAAGATCGGTCACTCCACTCCCCGCTGTTTTCGTCGCCTGGACGACCTCTTTCGTCAGCGCTTCGGCCCGTCGCCAGACCTTCCGGACTGGCACAGTTTGCTTAGTCGTAAGATTCAGATTTTTTACATGGACATGGATGCCATTGTTTCTGCTCTGCATGTGATGTATGCTGATGACTCTAGTGTGCTTCCCGCTTATTACTCACTGTCGGCTAGTGTAGGTGTGCCTAGCTTAGCCTCCCCTGCTGCATCAGGCGTAGGATCCCCTGCTTTGTGTAGTCTTGGTGCTTCCGCCGTCGTTCCGTCGCCAGACGCCTCTGCCTCGCTTTCCTTCACCCTGGACTCTGGCGCTTCCCGGTGTTTCTTCCGTGACTTCACCACCCTGACGCCGCTTCCTGTTCCTGCTGCCGTTTCTCTTGCTGACCCCTCCGGCGGTCTGGTAGTCGCCCGCAGTTCCACCACCCTTCCCTGTCCGGCGGTTCCTTCGGGCTCTCTCACAGGTCTGCATATCCCCTCGTTCTCCAGGAACCTAGTTGGTGTCGGCTGCCTCCAGGACCTTGGCGTCACCACTACGTTCCCTGGTCACGAGTGGTATGCTGTCTGTACCGAGGCCGCCACTGGTGCCCCCCTGTCCACATTCCCCCGGGACCCGGTGTCCGGCCTGTTCACTTTGGACATCGTGACCCCCTCGGCTAGGGCGCCTCCTCAGGTGGCTGCGTCTACCCAGGTTGCTGCTGCCTGCTCCTGTCGGTCCCTCACTCACCCGACCCTCCTTTGGCACCACCGCCTAGGTCACCTTGTGCTCCCGCGTCTGCGTCACATGTCCCAGCACAGTCTTGTCCTTGGTCTCCCAGATTCCCTCCCCGCGTTTCCCTCCTCCCCCGCCCCACCTTGCACGCCTTGTGTTGAGGGTCGGCTTCGCCGTGCCCCGCACTCCTCCTCGTTTCCCCCTACCGCCGCGCCGCTGCAGACCCTGCACCTGGACGTCTGGGGCCCCGCCCCCGTCCCTGGGCCGCGTCGAGAGCGCTACTTCCTTGTGCTTGTCGACGACTTCACTCGTTACACCACAGTCTTTCCCCTGGAGCGCAAGGCCGACGTGCCTGGCGCTCTCATCCCTTGGCTTGTCTCTGCGCGTGTCCACCGCGGTCTCCCTGTCTTGCGTCTTCACTCCGACCGTGGTGGCGAGTTTGCCTCAGGTGTCCTTGGTCGCTTTTGTCGTGCGGAGGGCATCACCCAGACGTTCACCCTACCGGACTCCCCACAGCAGAATGGGGTCGCTGAGCGACGCATCGGTTTGGTCATGGAGGTGGCTCGCACCTCCATGATCCATGCCGGTGCACCCCATTTTCTGTGGCCATTCGCTGTGCGCTACGCTTCTCACCAGCTTAACTTGTGGCCGCACCCTCAGCAGCCGCAGGTTTCGCCGACTCGTCTTTGGACTGGGTCTCCTGGTGACGCGTCTGCGTTCCACGTCCGGGGCTGCCTTGCTCACGTCCGTGCCTCCGGCACGGACAAGCTCACTGCCCGCACCCTTCCCTGCGTCTTCCTCGGTTTTCCCCTTGACGCGTCCGACTGGCACTTTTACCACCCGCCGTCTCACCGCTTCTTTCACTCTCGTGACGTCACCTTTGACGAGTCCGTCTCCTACTACCGTCGCTTCCCCCACTGTGGTCCCCCGGTTACCCCCCCCCTGTTCCTGGTCACTCCTTCCCCGGTAGTCCCTGCCCCTCCTCCTCCTCCTCCCCGTCCCGCCCCCTCTGGTGTGTCCCACGTCACCCCCCTTCCGTCGGTGGACCCGGTTGAGGAGTCTTCTGACTCTGGTGGCCCTCCTGTTCAGTCCTCGCCGGCCGCCCCTCCCCTGGCGTCCCCTCCCCAGTCCCCCCCTCCACCGCCTCTGCAGCCGCTGCAGCCGTCGTTGTCGCTGCCGCCGCCGCCGCCGCCGCCGCCGCAGCACCCGTTCGCTGACTCTGGGGGTGCTCGTCCCGGTAGCCCTGGGGGTGGTCCCTCTGGGGGTGCTGGTGTGGAGAGTGCCGGTGGTAGCCGAGGAGCAGCTTGCGGTCCCGGTGTCGCCGTTGTGCCGCCGCAGCAGCAGTCCCCGCCGGTGTCAGCCCTTCGCCTGCTCGGCCTTCCGTTCCCCGACCCTGCGTCGGTTCCTCCCCGGCCGTCTCCTCCTCTTCCTGTCTACGGCCCTGTCTTCCCTCCGCCGGACTCGTCCCCGGCCCGTCTCCCCCCTCGTTCCCCTCCTGTGTCCCCTCCTCTGTCTCCTGACCCGACTCCTCCGTCGCACGTCTGGTCTCACCGTCCCTCCCGTGCTCGTCCTGCCTCGCCTGTCTTGCGCTCCCACCCTATGTTGCTTCGTTCCCACGCGTCCCGTCCTCCCCTTCTGCCGTCGCCTCCCCCGTCCTCCCTTGTTGTTGCACCCCCTCCGCTGTCTGACTACCTTCGTGCCGCTCGTCCCCTTGTTCCTCGGGTCCTTGCCTCTCTCGTTACCGACCCGTCTGTTCCGACCTCGTGCCTTGACGCTCTTGTCGCTGCTGTCGCTGACTTCGCCTCTACCCGCCGCCTTGACTACGCCTCCGCTCTGGTCTCTGACCCTGCCTGTCCTCCGTCTGTCGGGGGTGCTCCTACCCTTGGCAGTGACGTCCTGGACGACCGCCAGTTCGAGCTTGCTTTCCTCTCCGAGGCTGCTCCCCATCTCTGTTCCATGCTGCTAGTCCCTGAGGGTGACCCAGACGCTTTTGACATCCCGACCCCTCGCACTTACGCTGAGGCGACTTTGGGACCCTGGGCCTCGCAGTGGATAGCTGCCATGGAGCAGGAGATGGCATCTTGGAGATCCACCGGCACCTTCGTCGACGCAGTTCCCCCACCTGGGGTGAACGTAGTCGATGGCCGCTGGCTCTTCAAGGTGAAGCGCCCTCCTGGAGAGCCGCCTGTCTTCAAGGCGCGCTATGTCGCTAGAGGCTTCAGTCAGCGCGAGGGGGTGGACTTCTTCCAGACCTTCGCTCCGACCCCGAAGATGACTACTCTTCGGGTTCTGTTACACCTAGCTGCTCAGCGTGACTACGAGCTTCACTCCCTCGACTTCTCCATTGCCTTCCTTCAGGGCAGCCTACACGAGCAGGTCTACCTGCGGCGCCCTCAGGGCTTCACTGGCACCTTCCCTCCTGGGACCCAGTGGCTCCTGCGGCGCCCCGTCTACGGCCTGCGCCAAGCTCCCCGTGAGTGGCACGACACTCTCCGTGCTACGCTTGCTGACCTGCAGTTCTTTCCGTCTTCCGCAGACCCTTCACTCTTCGTTCGTGCTGGCCAGACTCCGTTCTACATCCTTGTTTACGTCGACGACCTGGTCTTTGCCACAGCAGACAGGGACGCACTGGCCTCGGTGAAGGCAGAGCTGCTGAAGAAACACACGTGCACTGACCTTGGAGAACAGCGCCGTTACCTTGGCTTGCAGATCTCCAGGGACAGAGCTGCGCGCACCATCACCCTGACTCAGTCACACTTGGTGCGCCAGGTCCTTCAGAGGTTCAGCCTTCAGTTCTCCTCCGCACAGCCCACCCCTCTGCCTATAGACCACAGACTCTTCGCTCCAGTGTCTGAGGAGTTGGTAGAGCCCAGCGGCCCCTACGCAGAGCTGGTGGGTTGCCTCATGTACCTGATGACTTGCACTCGCCCAGATCTCGCATACCCTCTCAGCATCCTGGCTCGCTTTGTGGCCACAGGCAGACACCGACCTCAGCACTGGTCTGCCGCTAAGAGGGTTTTGCGTTATCTTGCAAGTACATCGGGCATGGGGTTAGTGCTAGGAGGACGCAGGCCAGTGGTCCTTACTGGACACACCGACGCTTCGTGGGCAGACGACGCCGAGACACTCAGGTCTACCCAGGGCTACTGCTTCAGCCTTGGCTCAGGTGCCGTCTCGTGGAGAGCTACTCGCTCCTCGTCTGTTGCGCAGTCCAGCTGTGAGGCTGAGATCTACGCTGGTGCCGGCGGCACAGGAGCTCCGCTGGCTGACCTTCTTGCTCACTGACTTAGGTGAGCGGCCTAGCTCTGCCCCGGTCCTGTTCGCTGACAACAGGGCCATGATCCTCCTGTGTCAGGAGCCTCGACTCGAGGGCAGAGCAAAGCACATTCAGCTGCGATACTTCCTCCTGCGTGAGCTACAGCAGCGACGTCAGGCTCGCGTAGTACACTTGGCCTCAGGTGCCAACACGGCTGATATCTTTACGAATGCGCTTGCGCCTAAAGATCATCAGCGGCACTGTGTACAGCTTGGTCTAGTTCCTGTAGCCTCTCACTTGCTAGGACCTTGACTTTGTACTGTCCTTTATACGTATACTCAGACTGGACTTGTGTCCTCTCCCAGTGGCTGGACTAGTAGTGCCGCCCTGCTCTTGTTCTTGCCTTGTTTGTACTCCTTCTGACTGGTCTCTCAGACCCTTGTCTCAGAGGTTGGACTAGTAGTGCCGCCCTGAGCTGTTTGTTTAGGGCATTCCCCTATGCAGTCTAGGGGGTGTGTCAAACATGTGTATTTGTCATGTTTGTATAGACTGTATAGGGTCGCCTCTTAGAGAGTACAACACGGAGGTATATCTGTGTGTACTCTCACCCTATCTAATTCTCACTTCTCAATTCTGATACTTGTGTCTAAAGGTTCTATACTTAGCACCCCTTTTACAATTTCTTTCAATCTCATCCATGCAAATGTAGGTATGACCAAGAAGTTCTGGTTGAATGAAATAAAACAATAACTGCATCAAGGTTCGGCTCTGCATCAATAACATTCCGTGCATAAATCTGCTAAGCATGGAATCAGGTCCACATCAACACACATATGAAGGGTGGTGGCTGTGTTCACAGCTTTCCAAAAACTAAATAAAAAAATCGCTTTAAGCAGTGGTGCTAGGCTTTGAAGTGAAGATCATTCCAATCCTGCAAGAGGACAGAAGCAAATAACAGGAGGATAAAACGTGATAAATTAACAAGCTCACTACACAGCCGCCAGGTTGTGACCGTGCTGACATGCTCAACAGCAAGACGAGAGGCATATGGTCTGGCATACGAGGCAAGCAAAAAGGAGCCATTTCAGCTAAGCGCAGGGTAAGAGTGGCGTGGAAGATATGGCAGGAAGAAAGGCAGATGGAATGCAGATTGTGGTGCAAGGATGGAAGGGTTAAGGCAGACAAGGGAAACAAGGTAATCAGGAGGGGCCTGATGACGTGTGAGGAGACTTCAACTAGGGTGGTGCGACACTAAGGGAGGAGCATGGAATGGAGATGAGGGCAATGCACTGTCACGTTGGCACATGTGGGAGGGTGCTGGCAAATGCGGTTGAAGACATGTGAGAGACACTATGGCATGTTGAAGACGTGTGAGAGGCACTATGGCATGTTGAAGACGTGTGAGAGGCACTATGGCAAGTTCAATAAATGTCTAAGAGACACTATGCATGTTGACGACATGTCCAAGGGAAGGCTCCTGCTGTGCGAACCCATACCTGGTGACTGTAACGGAAGCAGAGTCCACTTTTCGCTCTCTCCCGCTGCCACTGCGGGGAGTGGGGGCGCCTTTGACCAACTACGCATCTCCATTCCTTCCGCTCCTCCCCCCACCCTTACTTCCAGCGCCTTTCTCCTCTTCTTAGGCGGTCGCGGGGGGCTTGGGGGTTTTGGGGGCGGGCGCGGAGGTGGCTTTGGTGGAGGGCTCTTGGGCGGTCGCGGGGGTGGGCGGGGCGGAGGGCGCGGTGGTGGTGATGGGGGCGGACTTGGGGGAGGTCTCGGGGGCGGGCGGGGTGGTGGTGACGGGGGCGGGTTTGGGGGAGGGCGCGGGGGCGGCTTTGGTGGAGGGCTAGGGGGGGGACTTGGGGGGGGCGGGGGACTAGGGGGCGGGGACGGCGGAGGCGGCGGAGAAGGCGGCGGGGAAGGGGGTGGCGGTGGCGGAGGCGACGGCGGCTTTGGCGGGCTTGGGGGAGGCTTCGGGGGGGAGGGCGGCTTGGGCGGGGAAGGAGGCTTAGGCGGAGACGGCGGAGGGGGAGGACTGGGCGGAGGGGAAGGCGGCGGGGGCGGCGGGGGAGACGGCGACGCTACAAATTTCTGCACGCACACGGCAGTAGCATAGAATCCATTACCCGACTCAGTCGCGCCTAGATTAATAAAGCTAGCTGTATCGGACTCAACCGCGCCGTCCGCTGCTAGTTTTAAGGAGTAGACCCCCTCCCAGATCGCCATTAGCACCACTGGAGCGTTCAACGGGCTTCCGGGGTAGAGCGCTAAGCGCGCGTAAGTACCGGCCGTCAAGAACTGAAACGCGCCGGCAGACGCGGTATTAGCGCACCCGGCGGTATCGGTATAAGGCACGGTGTCCAGCGTGCCGAGGTAGCTCTGCCCGTTGCCGCCCGTCTTGTACGACGACGTGCTTGTAACGAAGACGTTCTTATAAGTGGAGTCGATGACTATAGACGAGGATGTCCCCGCGGTAAGAGTAGTTGTCGAAAGCGGAGACGCGGGAAGCGCGGACCCAGCGAGCGGAAGCGCGTAGGTATAGAGGATGTTAGAGTCGTATCTAAGTAGCGCTAAGAAGCCGCCTCCCGGAGAACACGCCGCCTGTCGCGCCGCGAATGGCGCTGAAAAGTACTTCACCGCCTCCACGCCGGTCTGGAATGTACCCGTTGTAGAGTCGATGGGAACGGTAACGACCACGTCAGAATCGTCCGCGGTGACGTGGCAGGTCAGGACGAGGAAATCAGTCGGCGACACCGTTGGCGAAGAGCAGAATGTCGCCGACGTGCACTGGTAACCCGATCCAACCAGCCTTACAACCGTTCCCTGAGCCCTATCCACCCAAACCGCCCCTCCTGCTGACTCCCCCCCATCCGCAACGACGAGGAGATTCTCGGAAGGTCCCCCGAGCACCGTTACAATGCTCGTGAACCCGGTCGGAAGATTCACGGGCGGCTGCGCCACTGGCCCGTCTGTCGTGTAGCGCACGACGTTGAGATGCGCGCCGCCGGATGTGAGGTAAGCAGTTCCGTCCGTAGCGACGCTACAGTCCATGAGCCACGCGGAGGTGTCGTTATCTGCCCTCCCGACGGACCCGATCTCGCGTCGCGTGCGAAGGTTCAGCTGCCACGCGACGTTCTTCACGTCGCCCGTCAGAGCGTCGTACACGCCGCCTGCGACGATACCGACCGGCACGCCTAGCGTGGAATACGGCGGGGATTGCGCTGCTGCCGGGGCGGCGAAGAGAGCGACTGGGAGGAGGATGGAGGTGAGAAGGAGGGGGAGAAGTAACTGGCTGTGGTGAAAATGGCGGGAGAACGAGGACCTTATTTTAACGTGCGCGGAGCGTCTTTGGATTTGATGACTGGGAGGGAAGCCGCTGCCAGCCGCCGGCGCGGGCCAGCGCGGCTCCATTCTGTGACCCGTGGAAAAGCTGGCTTCACGCTTTCATCGCTGATTGTGAGTAGTGTTTGTCCTCCTGCGAGTGTGGCGAGGAGGCTTGCAGGATGTGCCTGCGCGGCGAAGGGCAAAAATGTAGGGTCACAATGGCGGAAAGGTCACAATGGCGGTAAGGCCACAATGGCGGTATGGTCACAATGGCGGGGAGAAGCTAGGGAGTGTAATAGTCGCAATTACCATGCCATAGCGAACCGCCACCTCGAACGAAGACTGCGATGCAAGAGATGCCGCCCCCAGCTTGAAGACCAAGCACAGTCGGTGGCATTGGCAAGGCAGCTAAAACGAGGAGGGAGGAGAATGATGTAGGTGTGCTCCTGCTGTGTCGTCAGGGCTTCAGGTGATTCTCCTGAAAGGACCGTAAGGAGGAGAGGGACCCACTCTCGTTCGGTTTGGTTTGATGAGATAAATGAGATAAAGCACACAGCTGAAAAATGTTTTTTTTTTCAGACCCACTCTTACTTTTACTCGGCAATTTGATGTTCCTACCTCGGGATGATTCTTGGGTTCTAGACGGACTCGTGCCACTGCTTGGGCACCCGAAACACCGGCTGATGAGGCCAGCTTGAGAATGAAGTGCAGCATAACATTTTAAAAAACTGAAGTACTGTAAGCATATCAGGGTATTCTCGCATGAAAATAACACTTTGGATGACGGGCTGGGTCTGGCCCGGTGAGGATAGAAGGGACAAGACAGGCGTATGGCCGAAGCGCGAGGTCGAAAGGAACAAGACACTCGAAAGTCGTGCCTTGTCGTTTTGTTCAGGGCCCGTTCTGGGCTCGGGGCATGCTCCAAGGCAGGGCTTCGGAGCATCGGTTGTACGAGTGAGATCGCCCAAGCCCTCACTTTGATCTCACCCGTAAAATTGACGCCCCAAAGCCCTGCCTCGAGGCCGGCCCCGAGCACAGAACGCGCCCGTACTGTCCCTGGGCGAAGACCTGAAGATGCGCCCTCCAGAAATTACAAAAGCACCTGACGGAGAGCCCGTTGAATTGCACCTGACAGAGGACTCTGCTCCAATTCAAGTTGGGTCGGGTTTTGGCGCGCACATACACCTTGTGCCTAACAGAGGGGGGCGCACAACTTTCTCGAAGCAGCATTTCACCTGCCTTCGCCACAGGCAAATGGGACAAAACGTGAACACATATGTAACCGGCGTAAAACGCATGTCCCTGGTTATACAACACTTAAGGTGTTATGAATGGGACTGCCAAGAAGCGAGGAGGGCAATGGCGAAACCGTGAACGAGTGAATCAATAAAATGAAAGACAATAAAATATATAGAAAGCCTAGGGTGATCCTGGATGTAGGATCGGAAGGTTCGGGAAAGGTATCGAAGGGCCTCGATGTGTCGTAGTGAGGTCCGGAAAGGCCCAGGAGGCTCGAACTGAAAGGTCTATAACCCTATCACTGGTCGGGTGTTCGAGTCGTACGCCCTGTAGCAAGCCTCAGTAATGAATTACTTATTCCTTAAACTAGGTGTTATGAATGAACAAGCAGAGTAGCGTTGACATGAATAACGAAATATTCACTCACTGAATTACAATACAATGAATGGCAAGCCTAGATATAGGAACACCAGAGCTAGTCTAACCATGTGATGGAAAGGTTCGGGAAGGAGATCGAAGGGTCTCGAATGACGAAGTGGGGCCCGTAGAACTCCCGAATGTCGAACCAGAAGGTCTGGAGAAGCCTATGTGATTCTATCAGAAAGGTCGGAACCATCTCGAGGCTTCGGGTGTGTTCGAGCGTACGCGATTGCAGTACCGCCCGGTAAGGAATATAAAATTCCTTACACTAAGTGTTATGAGTGTTTCACCTGAGTACAATGGAATGACTATGCAAGATGTAGGAACACCAAAGCAATCCTAGCCGTATGATCGAACAGGTTCGAAGAAGGCATCCGAGGACGCGGAGCGCTTCGGAGTGATGCGGAAATGGTTCGGTGTCGTGTTCGGGTCGAAGCTAGGGCAGGTGTTGGTGCCGTATGGGGTTGGGGTATGCATTAGCGGTATGAAAATTCCTTACACTACCCCCCCTCTAGCGAAGGTGGTCTATATTTGCGATGTGCTTGTGGGGTAAATAATCCCGGAGTACAGTATGTGATGGTATTTATACCGAGGGAACCCACGTGTCGTCCTCGTTGATACGATGAGTCCATCGTATCAGAAAGTCAAAGTGTCGTTCTTGACCGTTGATTCTTACGCGATGACTCAGTATCTTCGCTGGTTCGATGAGCGTCTCCTCGTGTGGCCGTAGATCCTGGGCGATCGGCTCTCGGGCGACGTTTTACGTGTCGGCAACAAAATGACGAAGGAGGCTAACGCGGAAGGAATTATGAATTTTCCAATCGTTGGGTAGGAGGAGTTGGGCGGTCACTGGCGTGATCATCTTAATGATATTGAAAGGTCCACAGAAGCGGGGTCGATGTTTTGACGGTATCTACAGGCGAAGGTTTTTGGTGTCGAGGAGGACTAGTTTCCCTGCAATCAAAGTAATATCTTGTCTATGTCGGTCGGCGTATTGGCGGGCAGAAACATTGGTTTTGTTGGATAAACTCGATGGCTTTCGTGTAGGCGGTTTGAAGGTCTTTGACGAACTGCTGCAAGCGGGGGACTTGGCTTTCGACGTTGGTAAAAATGGGTATTGTCGGATCCATCCCGTAATTCAAGAAGAAGGGCGAATGATTGGTCGTGGCGGAGGGTGCATTGTTGTAGGAAAACTTGAGCATGGGTAGCGAATCTTCCCATTTGCTGATGTCCATGCAGTTTTTGCGAATCAACTATTCCATGGTCTGATTCGTCCGTTTTGCCTGACCGCCGGTTTGCGGGTGATAGGTAGATGAGAACTGTAGGCGGGTGCCGTATCGGTTCCACGTGTCTTGCCACAAGCGCGAGGTGAATTTCGATTCTCTGTCGCTGGTGATCGCCGTAAGGATACCATGCAGACGAACGGCGGCCGAGATGAATAGACGTGCGGCTTCTTCGGCTATGATCGTTGTGCGACATGTCCCAAAGTGTGCAATTTTTGTGAAGCGGCCGATAACGACTAGAATCGTGTCGTTTCTACTTGGTCCGACCGGCAGGCCGGTGACAAAATCCATTGTTACATGTTGCCGAGGTAGGACTCGCGAAAAGGTTAGCTTTCGTCAAACGTCTGCGACACGAAATCCTTTCGCTGAGTCAGCGATTCACATGTGCAGGGGGTTGAGTTTGGTTGAGATGTTTCAAGTTTCTCCTGGTCAGTTCGGGCAAACCACATTTTTTGTTTTCTGGCCAGTCAGCTGCTTTCGCGATGTGCGTGCGAAACCGATTGCTGAAAACATGCGATGTGTGAATTCCACAGCGAGTGTTAAGCCCGAGGGTTTAGCGGGAAGATCCAGAGGCCCGGAAAAATTGCCTCGGGTCTTGCGAAAAACTGACGGCTCCAGCCAATCAGCTGTCAATCCGAACAGCTAACAAAGTCTCCCAAATGAACTTCCACCAATCATGACTTGGCAAATTTCTGTTGGACTCAAAAAGTTCGGCCAGTATAGTCGCAACCCTCCCCTTGCGACACTTCGCGACTATGCAGCCGCTGCACCGTCAAGAAAATTAAACCCGCAGTTAGGTTGTGACTGTTAACGTAGAAACGAATGATTACTAGAGGTGGAAACCTAGAACAAATACTAGTTGGTTGTACTCACTAGAAGCATACCTCAGTCTAGCCTATAACTTCTACATAGATAATATGTATAAGTTGACACACCCCCTAGGCTAGACAAGGGGTGAAACTAAACAAGAAGCAAACAGCTCAGGGCGGCACTACTAGTCCAACCACTGAGGCAGGGGTCTGGAGACCAGTCAGCAAGAATACAACCAAAACTGAAGCAAGCCAGGGTGGCACTACTAGTCCAGCCACTGGAGGTAAGGCCACAAGGCCAGTCTGACAAGCATATATAATAGAGAGTACACAATCAGGATCCTAACAGGGGAGCAGCTATAGGAACAAGACCAAGCTGTACACAGTGCCGCTGATGATCTTTAGGCGCAAGCGCCTTAGTAAAGATATCAGCTGTGTTGGCACCTGAGGCCAAGTGAACTACGCGGGCCTGGCGGCGCTGCTGTAGCTCGCGCAGGAGGAAGTACCGCAGCTGGATATGCTTCGCTCTGCCCTCAAGCCGAGGCTCCTGACACAGGAGTATCATGGCCCTGTTGTCAGCGTACAGGACCGGGGCAGAGCTAGGCCGCTCACCTAAGTCTGTGAGCAAGAAGGTCAGCCAGCGGAGCTCCTGTGCCGCCATGGCACCAGCGTAGATCTCAGCCTCACAGCTAGACTGAGCCACAGACGACGAGCGAGTGGATCTCCAAGAGATAGCACCCGAACCAAGGCTGAAACAGTAGCCCTGCGACGACCTGAGCGTCTCAGCGTCGTCTGCCCAAGAAGCGTCTGTGTGCCCAGTAAGGACCACTGGCCTGCGTCCTCCTAGCACTAACCCCATGCCTGATGTACTAGCAAGATAACGCAAAACCCTCTTAGCGGCAGACCAGTGCTGAGGTCGGTGTCTGCCTGTAGCCACAAAGCGAGCCAGGATGCTGAGAGGGTATGCGAGATCTGGGCGAGTGCAAGTCATCAGGTACATGAGGCAACCCACCAGCTCTGCGTAGGGGCCACTGGGCTCTACTGGCTCCTCAGGAACGGGAGCAGAGAGCCCATGGTCTACGGGTAGAGGTGTGGGCTGTGCGGAGGAGAACTGAAGACCGAACCTCTGAAGGACCTGACGCACCAAGTGTGACTGGGTCAGAGTGATGGTGCGTGCTGCTCTGTCCCTAGAGATCTGCAGGCCAAGATAGCGACGCAGCTCTCCAAGGTCAGTGCAGGTGTGTCTCTTCAGCAGCTCAGCCTTCACAGAGGCCAGTGCGTCCCTGTCAGGAGTAGCGAAGACCAGGTCGTCTACGTAGACAAGGATGTAGAACGGAGTCTGGCCGGAACGCACAAACAGTGAAGGGTCAGCAGAGGACGGAAAGAACTGCAGGTCTGCTAACGTGGCACGTAGCGTGTCGTGCCACTCGCGGGGAGCCTGACGCAGGCCGTAGACCGGGCGCCTGAGAAGCCACTGGGTCCCAGGAGGGAAGGTACCAGTGAAGCCCTGTGGTCGGCGCAGGTAGACCTGCTCGTGTAGGCTGCCCTGAAGAAAGGCAGTAGAGAAGTCGAGGGAGTGAAGCTCGTAGTCACGCTGTGCTGCTACGTGTAGCAGCGCCCGAAGAGTGGTCATCTTCGGGGTCGGGGCGAAGGTCTGGAAGAAGTCAACCCCCTCGCGCTGACTGAAACCTCTGGCCACGTAGCGCGCCTTGAAGACAGGCGGCTCTCCAGGGGGGCGCTTCACCTTGAAGAGCCACCGACCATCGACTACGTTCACCCCAGGCGGGGGAACTGCGTCGACGTAAGTGCCGGTGGATCTCCAAGATGCCATCTCCTGCTCCATGGCAGCTATCCACTGAGAGGCCCAAGGTCCCGAGGTGGCCTCAGCGTAGGTGCGAGGGGTCGGGATGTCGAAGGCGTCTGGGTCACCCTCAGGGACTAACAGCATGGAGCAGAGATGGGGAGCAGCCTCGGAAAGGAAAGCCAGCTCGTACTGCCTGTCCTCTAGGACGTCACTGCCAAGGGCAGGAGCACCCCCGACGGACAGAGGACGGGCAGGGTCAGAGACCAGAGCGGTAGCGTAGTCAAGGCGGCGGGTAGAAGCGAAGTCAGCGACAGCAGCGACAAGCGCGTCAAGGCGCGAGACAGGAACAGCAGGGTCGGTAACAAGAGAGGCAAGGACCCGAGGGACAAGGGGACGAGCAGCACGGAGGTAGTCAGAGAACGGAGGAGGTGCAACAGCAAGGGACGAGGGAGGAGGGGACGGGAGGAGGGGAGGACGAGACGAGTGGGAACGGAGCAACATAGGGTGGGTGGGCAGGACAGGAGAGACGGGACGAGCACGGGAGGGGAGTAGGTGCAGGGGGACGGGGGAGCAAGCCATCAGCATGGACAACCAGAGAGTGGCCATCCTGGCGCTGACCTGTAAGCTGGCGGCGAAGATCGGAGAGCCAGGCGGCGAAGTCAACCGCGTGGCCCTCAGCGTCCAGGCGGAGCACAAAGTCAGCCATCGTGCAGGGTCAGCGGCACAGCTCCTCAGCGACACAGCGGCACAGCAGCACAGCTCCTCAGCGGCACAGGAGCACAGCAGCGCGGGGACACGGCGGCAGCACTCTCCAGTAGGGCAGCAGCTAGGCGTCCCAGCGCAGGCAAGCAGAAGACACAGGGCCCGAGAGGACACGGCAGGCCGAGCAGGGGAGGCGGGCAGGTGCTCTGGGGCCGGGCTGGTGCTGGGAGGGGCCAGGCTGGTGCTGCTGGGGCCGGTCGGGCACGAGGAGGGGCCGGGCAGCGCTGAGGAGAGGCCGGGCGGCGCTAGGAAGGGGCCGGGCGGCACTAGGAGGAGGCCGGGCGGCACTAGGAGGAGGCCGAGCGGCACTAGGAGGAGGCCAGGCGGGCGAGCGCTAACAGCAGGCGCGACAGGGGCCAGCGGGCGCGACGGGGCCTAAGGGGCGCGACGGGGCCCAGCGGGCACGACGGGGCCCAGGGGGGGCGCGACGGGGCCGAGGAGGCGCGACGGGGACCAGCGGGCACGACGGGGCCCAGGGGGGCCGCGACGGGGCCTAACGGGCGCGACGGGGCCCAGGGGGGGCGCGACGGGGCCTAGCAGGCGCGACGGGGCCTAGGAAGCGCGAAGGGGCCCAGCGGGCGCGACGGGGCCTAGGAGGGGCGCGATGGGGCCGAACGGGCGCGACGGGGCCCAGAGGGGGGGGACGCGACGTGGCTTAGGAGGCGCGACGATGCCTAGGAGGCACGACGGGGCTCAGCGGGCTCGACGGGGCCCATGGGGGGCGCGACGGGGCCTAGGAGGCGCAACGGGGCCCAGCGGGGGCGCGTTAGGGCCTAGGGGTCGCGACGGGACCCAGCGGGCGCGACGGGGCCTAGGGGGAGCGCGACGGGGCCTAGGAGGCGCGACGGGGCCCAGCGGGCACGACGGGGCCCAGGGGGGGCGCGACGGGGCCTAACGAGCGCGACGGGGCCCAGGGGGGGCGCGACGGGGCCTAGGGGGCGCGACGGGGCCTAGGAGGCGCGACGGGCGGAAGCGGTAGGCGGGGGGATCCTAACCTAAGCGTGATACCATGTTAACGTAGAAACGAATGATTACTAGAGGTGGAAACCTAGAACAAATACTAGTTGGTTGTACTCACTAGAAGCATACCTCAGTCTAGCCTATAACTTCTACATAGATAATATGTATAAGTTGACAGTGACAACCCGCGGCTCCTTCGGCCGAGGGTCGACCTCGGGTCTGACACTCGCTTCCGAATCTTCCCTTAAAACACAACTGTTTTGTTTCAATTAGCGCCTGTTTTTGTGTGATTGTTTCTTGTTTTGATTGAGCGATGATGTACACCAGCGAACACACCTGAACCTGATGGCGATGGCACACACAGCTGAAACTTCTCCTGACGCAGCAAAGCTGCTCTAGCCCGCTGCTTGCTTGACACCCCGAACGTAGGGTAACCCTAGATTCCACCTGCGACGTACCTTTTCGTTTCGCCAATGGCTACAATCGGCATCGCAAACAAGCCCATGGCCCCTCCGGAAACCCTCCATAGCACTATTGGCACCTGTAGGCTCCACAATCTGAACGTTGCCCACCTGGGATTAGAGGACTAAGTATTCAAAGAGTATGGTGGCTAACCGTATGGGTTTCCCCTTTGGCCGTTTACCCCCACCCCACCCGTACGACCTCGCTCAAACCATCGCAGCACTGGTTGTGCTGTAATGGGGTGTTACGCGGGAAAGGAGGCTCCCTATCTGCTCGCTTTGTCCGTTAACCCTGCCCGTACGTAATATCGGCCAATCAGATAGTCGAAACCAGATATTTGAAAAGCGTGTAATTTTTGTCGAGCTTTTGGCGGGCACCCCCACGCTCGTCGCAAAACATTTGACACGGGAGAAACACAAGGGCCAGATGGCCTCTACACGAAACTCGCAAGGCATGTCGCCAAGCCCAACACAGCACCGGAATACGAAATTGGAGTCACGAAGGAATGGGGTAATGTTTCGCACGGGCAACGCTGACGAAAATTCGCCAAGACGAGTTACAATCTCGAAACTCGAATTCGAGTCTTCAGACTGGACGAGTTTTGCACATTCGGTGTAGTCTCGAAACATTTCAGAGCTACTGGAAAATTACCGGACGGGCAGAACAAACCGAGTGGCGGAACAGAGTGGAGCCTCCGTTCCCACATCCCACTTTACAGTACAGTACACTCCCAAAAATCTACAGCAGCCACTGCAGTTGCAGATTGGAGTCGCCCTAGCAATGTGGTAGTTCAAGTGGGTCAGGTGCAGGCTCATCTTCGTTTTAGTGCATCACATCACGTAGTTGCTAGCTCTGTTGAAGCCGGCAAGGAGTCTTCCTCTCGTCGCACTTATATTAGAAAGCGCGCGACTGTAACTAGCAGCTTCGCGAATATTCGAAGCCCATCCTGGCTCGCGGTCGGCGCGGCTCGTCGCTAGTCGCGGCACCCTTCGTTCTTCGCGGCTTCAGCAGGAAAAGCATCCGTGAACCAACTCCTTGAGGTAGCGCCGAGTAACACCGAACAGCACCGAATAGCACCGAATAGCACCGAATTGCTCCGAGCGGCACCGAGCGGCACCGAGCGGCAATGGACCCGAGCAAGCGGTACCCGCCGCGAGGCGGCGCGAGCGCCAAGTACGAGACGCGGCCCGGCATCAAGTGGTCCGACAGCCTCTGGGGCTTCCGCGTGATCGTCGCCGTCATTATCGGCCTCGCCGTAGCGGGATTCGCTTTCGTGTAGGTCACAATATTTGTGTTTAGGTCTCCTTATGTTCTGTATGTTTCGCTTTTTCTAGTCCTCCCTTTCTTGTCGTCCCCGCCATTATCGGCCTCGTTGTAGGGGGATTCGCTTTCGTGACGGTCTTTATATCGGAACGGTATCGGTATTCCTCTCGTGCTCATCGTCGCCGTCATTATAGGCCTCGCTACAGCAGGATTCGTTTTCCTGCGCGTCTATTTTCATCTCTAAGAACCCGCGTCTAAGGGACGCTCTCTCTGTTCCCCCCTCGCCTCACACTCCCCGCACTCTCTACTCTCCCCCCCTCACCCTCCCCCTCCCCTCCCCCTCTCCCCTCATCCCCCGCCCGTTCATTCTCGTCTCTCGTTCGCCGTCCGTGACGTGCTTACCAACCCCCACCCATCCAACCCCCACCCATCCTTTCCTCTCTCCGCATCCCCTTACCCTTATTTGCGAGGCGCCTGGCATTTGAGCCCCCACCCATCCTGACTTCACTCCGCATCTCCTTACCCTCCCCACTCGCGCCCCCCTTCCTCGCCCATCCCCCCTGTCCCCATCCCTGGACCTATCCGCCCGTGCCTCGTTCCGAGTCAGCCTGCCAGGCTTGGGGAGCCCGACCCTGCAGGCGGTGCTGTACGCGGTAGTGAGTGCCGCGGTGTTCCTGGCGCTGCTCTTCCTCTTCCTCGTGCAACACATCGACCCAGGGATCATCCCTCCGTCCGACATCAAAGGTACGAAGCGACAACCCTACACCGCTTTCCCCAGCCCCCCTCTCTCTCCCACTCTGCCCACCTCCAACCCTCCTCTTCCTCGTGCATCGCATCCACCAGGCCATCATCGCTCCGTCGGACATCAAAGGTACGAAGCGACAGCTCTACGCCACGCCCCCCCCCCCCCCGCTCCCCCCCCCCCCCACGCACCCTTTTGCCTTGCTTCCTCTCTGCCCTGTCTGCTTCTTTCCCCCACTCTTTCTTCCAGACCCCTCCGAGGTGGTGGCAGCGGAGAGGGGCCAGATCTCCCCTGACCTTGCCCTCAACTCGCACGGCCAATGGGCGCGCGTCGCCGACGGCCTCTCCAGTCCCATTTCCCCTGCTCCCCCTGCCCCCCCTGCCCCCCCTGCTCCCCCTGCTCCCCCTACTCCCCCTACTCCCCCTACTCCCCCTACTCCCCCTACTCCCCCTCCCCCCCCAACTCTTCCCTCCCAGACCCCGACAGCAGAGAGGGACCAGATCTGTCCTGATCTGGCCATCGACTCGCACGGCAGTGGCCAAGACGCCGCCTGCTGCTGGACGGGTGGCCGCTTCCTCTCTCTTACCCCATCCCACCCCTGCTCCCTCGTCTCTCCTCTCCTCGCCTCTCCTCTCCCTGTCTACCTGCCAGACCCCGAGGTGGTGGCAGTGGAGAGGGGCCGGATATCACCGGATCTGGTCATTCACTCGCATGGTCAGTGGCCGAGGCGCCGCCTGCTGCTGGACGGGCGATGACTCTCCCGTTGTCCCCTGTTCGCACCCCCCTGCCTTTTTCTGCCAGACCCTGAGGTGGTGGCAGCGGAGAGGGGCCAGATATCACCGGATCTGGTCATTGACTCACACGGCCAGTGGGCGCGGCGCCGCCTGCTGCTGGACGGGCGGTCGGAGATCACCCAGCGGTACTGCAGCACGTGCAACATATGGAGACAGCCCAGGACGAGTCACTGCTCCAGATGCGGCTTCTGCATGGAGGTACTGTACGATGCTTGGACATGTTCCAGTGAGCGATGCTTGTAGGATGCTGCACCACTAGTGTGGTGGGGCGCCTCGTCAAAACAGCACAAGCTCAGGAGTTTTGACGCTGGAAAGTAAGCTTGTGCGTGTGGGTGTGGTGGGTGCGGGTGTGGTGCGTGTGGGTGTGGTGGGTGCGGGTGTGGTGCGTGTGGGTGTGGTGGGTGCGGGTGTGGTGGGTGCGGGTGTGGGTGTGGGAGTGTGTGGGTGTGAGGGTTTGTGGGTGTGGGTGTGTGGGCGTGTGGTTGTGTGTGTGTGGGTGTAGGACCGTGGGCACTGTGGGGCCGTGGGCACCGGGCACGTGTGTGTTAAGGACGAACCACCGCTTCTTCACTCCCTTGCCCCCTTGCTCCCTCCCCCTCGCTCTCTAACTGTGCACGCCCCCCCTTCTTTCGCCCTGGGTTTGCTTGCAGCGTTTCGACCACCACTGCGGGGCCGTGGGCACGTGCGTTGCGAGGAAGAACCACCGCTTCTTCACTGGCTTTCTGTTCTCCGCCTCCTTGGTACGGATTGTTGACCTTCCAATGGCCTTGCTTTGACAAGCCATGTTGGCTAGGCCTCACAGGCCTCACAGGCCTCACAGGCCTCACAGGCCTCATAGCCCTCTCAAGCCTTCCACAGGCTGTTCATAGGCCTTCTTCCATTGGCGTTGTTTTGGGAAAGCATGAGTTCTGTGCCTCGTCAGGGCACGTGTGTTGCCAGGGAGAACCATCGCTTCTTTACCTGGCCTTCTCGTCTCGGCTCGGCCTCCTTGGTAGGCGTTCTGATTCCTGACTCCCGTAACGCTGCGTTGCGTTCTCCACCCCCTTCCCCTTTCTTCAGTTCCGGTGCGTTCATAGTAGCTGGCTCCTATGGCATGTGCACACAATGAACGTTGTTCATTCTTCCTCTTCTGCTGCTTGCTGACATTCTTTCGATGACAGCTTTGTCCGTCCCGCCCTCCCCTGCATGCCACCATCCTTTCTCCCTCCTCCCACCTCCCACCTCAATCTTCCACACCCCTCCCTGCCCTTCCCCCCTTTCCCCCCCTTTTCCCCCCCCTTTCCCCCCCTTCCCCCCCGCCCAATTCCACGCCCCCCCCCTCCATCCCCCCCCCCCCCCCCCCCCCGGACGATCCTGTGCAGGCATCGGGACTTCTCCTATATGCCACCATACTGCGACTGAAGCAGGAGGACTGGGATAAGTGAGTGTGGCACTTATATAAGCGTGTGTCTGACTGGGGTGTGGGAGCGTGGGGCCTGAAAACGGAGTGTGACATGTCCTCATGGGCTTGAAGTCTAAAGAAGCAGGTGGTTCGCGTCTTCTCCATCCCCCTCCTCCCTACCCCCCATGCCCCCCCTCCCTACCCCCCATGCCCCCCCTCCCTACCCGCCCATGCCCCCCTTCCACCCCCCTATGCCCCCCCTCCCTACCCGCCCATGCCCCCCTTCCACACCCCCATGCCCCCCTCCCCAACCCCCCATGTCCCCCCTCGAACCCCCCATGTCCCCCTCTCCACCCCCCCATGTCCCCCTCTCCGCCCCCCCATGTCCCCCTTCCCAACCCCCTATGTCCCCCTCTCCACCCCGCATGTCCCCTGTCCCCCTTCCCTCTTTCTCCATCCCCCACCTCCCACCTCCCACCTCCTGCTGGAGCTGTATGTTTTCTTCCTAACGCTGCTGTTGTTTCCCCCGTCCCCCTTCCCTCTTCCACCAACCCCGCAGGGGCCTAAGCGAGCAGGGGCCTAAGCGAGCAGGAGGTGTATACGCTCTTCTTCATGCTGCTGGCCTTGGCTCCCTCTTCTCATTCCCGTGTCTTCTTCATCTCCACAAATCCTTATTCCCCACCCCTCAGGGGCCTTAGTGAGCAGGAGGTGTATGTCTTCTTCCTCATGCTGCTGTTGTTTCCCACATCCCCCTTTCTCCATCCCCCACCTTCCCCACCCCTCAGGGGCCTTAGTGAGCAGGATGTGTATGTCTTCTTCCTCATGCTGCTGGCCCTCGTACTCCCCTTCCCGTGCCTCCATCTTATTCCTTCCCCGTCCATCTCCCCCTCCACCCTCCGCCTCGCCTCAGGGGCCTAAGCGAGCAGGAGGTGTATGTGTTCTTCCTCATGCTGCTGGCCCTCGCCTACTTCTACACCTCGCTGCTCTTCTTCTTCGCTGTCATGCACGGCACTATCCTGCTCTGTGGTAAGTGCTCTCCCCCCCCCCCCCTCTCCGCTGCGCGCTCTATCTTAGTCCCTCCCTCTCACTTACTTCCACACCTCGCTGCTCTTCTTCTTCGCTGTCATGCACGGCTTCCGCAGCACACTCTATCTTACTCCTTCCCTCTCGCCTACTTCCACACCTCGCTGCTCTTCTTCTTTGCAGTCATGCACAGCACCATCCTGCTCTGTGGAAATTGCACTCCCCTCCCCTTCTCTTCCAATATCTCGCTCTCCATCTCACTCTCGCCCTCTTCCCCATTTATACACTTGTTTGCTTTTCTTCGTTGCTGTTTTGATGTGCCTCCAAGCATTTCCATCTCACTCTCCCCCCTCTCGCCTTCTTATGCACCTCTTTGCTATTCTTCATCACTGTTATGCACGGACGGGACCATTCTGCGGTATGGCCTTTCCCCGCCCATTAGTTCTTCCACACCCTTTCCCCGCTCACTAGTTATGGGAGGTTCGGACTTGGTTCAGGCTCACTGTCCGCCCCTTCCCTGCTACCCCCTTCTCTCCCTCTGCTCTGCATTTCCCCCTCTTTCCTTCCCTCCCAGACTGCACCACCAAGCAGTACATCCGATCCAGGCAGGGCCGAGGCTCAGAGTGGCAGCGCCCGAGCCTGCACGCCTGGCTCGACAACATGAACAGTATCTGCTGTGCGGAAGTGCGCAGTAAACACATTGCTGCAGTGAACGCCGTTGTAGAGGGCACGGCTCGGGCGCAGGGGCTTGCACCTGTGTAGGCTCTACAGCATTTGCGGTGCAGAGGTGTGCACAGGTATGGAAGTGCACAGTACAGTACGCATATTGCCGCAGCGAACCCCGTTGTCGAGGGCACGGCTCGAGCCCAGTGGCTTGCGCTGTCAAACATGTGTATTTGTCATGTTTGTATAGACTGTATAGAGTCACCTCTTAGAGGATACAAAACTTAGATATATTTGTGTGTACTCTCACTTTACGATTATTCAATTATTCTGATATGGTATCACGCGTACGTAGGATCCCCCCCCCCACCTACCGCTTCCGCTCATGCCCCCTAGCGCCCCTCCTGGGCCCCGTCGCGCTCCTCCCAGGCCCCTTAGCGCCCCTCCTGGGCCCCGTCGCGCTCCTCCCAGGCCCCGAAGCGCCCCTGCCAGGCCCCGTCGCGCCCCTCCTGGGCTTCGTAGCGCCCCTGCCAGGCCCCGTCGCGCCCCTCCCAGGCCCCGTCGCGCTCCTCCCAGGCCCACTAGCGCCCCTCCTGGGCCCCGTCGCGCTCCTCCCAGGTCCCGTAGCGCCCCGTCGCGCCCCTCCTGGGCCCCGTAGCGCCCCTCCTGGGCCTCGTCGCGCCCCTCCTGGGCTTCGTAGCGCCCCTCCTGGGCCCTGTAACGCCCTCCCAGGCCCCGTCGCGCCCCTCCCAGGCCCCGTCGCGCTCCTCCCAGGCCCCCTAGCGCCCCTCCTGGGCCCCGTCGCGCTCCTCCCAGGCCTCGTAGCGCCCCTCCTGGGCTCTGTCGCGCCCCTCCTGGGCCCCTTCGCGCTCCTTCCAGGCCCCGTAGTGCCCCTCCTGGGCTCTGTCGCGCCCCTCCTGGGCTCCGTAGCGCCCCTCCTGGGCCCCGTCGCGCCCCTCCTGGGCCCCGTAGCGCCCCTCCTGGGCCCCGTCGCGCCCTCCTTGGGCCCCGTAGCGCCCCTCCTGGGCCCCGTCGCGCCCCTCCCAGGCCCCGTCGCGCCCCTCCCAGGCCCCGTAGCGCCCCTCCTGGGCCTCGTCGCGCCCCTCCTGGGCTTCGTGGCGCCTCTCCTGGGCCCCCCGTCGTGCCCCTCCTGGGCCCCGTAGCGCCCCTCCTGGGCCGCGTCGTACCCGTCGCCGTCGCCCGCCCCGTCGTGCCCGACCGGCGCCGTCGCGCCCGCCCGACCCCGCCGCCGCCGCCCGGCCCCGTCGCACCCGCCCGGCGCCGTCGCCGCCGCCCGGCCCCGTCGCGCCCGCCCGGCGCCGTCGCACCCTGCCCGGCCCCGTCGCGCTCGTCCGGCCCCGTCGCAGCCGCCCGGCCCCGTCGCACCCGCCCGGCCCCGTCGCACCCTGCCCGGCCCCGTCGCAGCCACCCGGCCCCGTCGCACCAGCCCGGCCGCCGTCCCGCTCGCCCGGCCCCGTCGCACCGGCCCGGCCCTGTCGCACTCGCCCGGCCCCGTCGCCCCAGCCCGGCCCCGTCGCGCCCGCTCGGCCCCGTCGCCCGCCCGGCCCCGTCGGGCCAGCCCCGGCCCCGTCCTCCTCACTGGTACGGTTCCCCCCCCCCCCCCCCCCCCCCCCCCCCCCACCCCGCCCTGCTCCGTGCCGCCCTGCACCGCACTGCACTGCACTGTACCGCACTGCACCACACAGCACCGCACTGCACCGCACTGTACCGCACAGTACCGCACTGCACCGCACTGTCTCGCACTGCACCGCACCCCACCTAGCTGCACCGCCCTGCACAGCACTGGACTGTTCCTGATGGCGGCGGAGCTTCGCTTCGACGCTGAAGGTCAGCCCCTAGAGTTCGAGGCGTGGCTTGCCGACCTCCGCCGCCAACTCACTGGCCAGCGGCAGGATGGTGAACCGCTTTCCGCACACCTTGACGGTACGCTCCCCTGCCCAGACCCTCCTGCTATTCTGCCCGCTGATCCCACACCCATTGAGCGTGAGTCTACTGCTGCCACTGCCCGTGCGCGCTCTGTCTGGCTTTCTCGCGATGCTGTCGCCCAGCTTGCCATTAGCAACGCACTCCCCCCGTCCGAGCGTCCTCGCTTTAGGTCCCTCACTACTGCTCAGGCATACTTAGATGCTGTCATCAAGCGCTATTCCACCCCTCCGGCTGCCTCGGTGGGTCGCCTGATCCTCCCGCTGCTCTTTCCTGACCTTGCTTCGTTCCCCACTGTCTCTGACCTCGCTGCCCACCTGCGCTCGATAGAGGAGACCTGGCGCGCCGCCTGCACTGACGCACAGCTTCGAGCCCACCTGCCGCCCATTACCTCTACCCTCTACCTGCTTGCCACCCGCCTCCCTGACCGCCTTGCTGTCGTCCGCGACCGCTTCCTTAGCCTTCACCCCGCAGACCTCACCCTCACTGACTTTGTCGACACCCTGACTGTGATAGAGACCCGTCACCGCTCCATCGCCCAGGCGAGCGGTGTCGTGCCGGTCCCTATCTTTCAGGGTTGTGCCCCCGCTCAGTGTATCTTCTCCGACGGCTCTGCCGCAGTGGCTGAGACTGCTGCTGCAGCGCAGGCCCGTTCTGGGAAGGGCCGCCGCCCCAAGGCTGGGCGCGGCGGAGGGGGCGGCGGGGGTGCGGGCGGGGGTAGTGGTGGGGTCGGGTCGCCTGGTGCTGGAGCGGACGAGGGGACCCTGCCCAGTCCAGCTGAGTTGCCGCCCCTACAGTTGCAGCAGCCGCAGCAGCCGCCGCAGTCGCAGCCTTCGCAGCAGCCGCAGCAGCCGTCGCAGACGCGGCAGACGAGTGTTCTCCCGCCAGGGTGGCCCGGCGCTGGCGGTAGACGGGCGCGTGGTGGTGTGCCGCGTGGTGGCTCTGCCGGCGGGCATTGTCAGTACCAGATCCAGACCGATCCTCGCCGCGGCTTCGTTTGCGGTAAGATCGGTCACTCCACTCCCCGCTGCTTTCGTCGCCTGGACGACCTCTTTCGTCAGCGTTTCGGCCCGTCGCCAAACCTCCCGGACTGGCACAGTTTGCTTAGTCGTCAGATTCACATCTTTGATATGGACATGGATGCCATTGTTTCTGCTCTGCATGTGATGTATGCTGATGACTCTAGTGTGCTTCCGACTTATTACTCACTGTTGCCTAGTGTAGGTGTGCCTAGCTTAGCCTCCCCTGCTGCGTCAGGCGTAGGATCCCCTGCTTTGTGTAGTCTTGGTGCTTCTGCCGTCGTTCCGTCGCCAGACCTCTCGGCTTCGCTTTCCTTCACCTTGGACTCTGGCGCCTCTCGGTGTTTCTTCCGCGACTTCACCACCCTGACGCCGCTTCCTGTTCCTGCTGCCGTTTCTCTTGCTGACCCCTCCGGCGGTCCGGTAGTCGCCCGCAGTTCCACCACCCTTCCCTGTCTGGCGGTTCCTTCGGGCTCTCTTACAGGTCTGCATATCCCCTCGTTCTCCAGGAACCTAGTTGGTGTCGGCTGCCTCCAGGACCTTGGCGTCACCACTACGTTCCCTGGTCACGAGTGGTATGCTGTCTGTACCGAGGCCGCCACTGGTGCCCCCCTGTCCACGTTCCCCCGGGACCCGGTGTCCGGCCTGTTCACTCTGGACACCGTGCCCCCCCCGGCTGGAGCGCCCCCTCAGGTGGCTGTGTCTACCCAGGTTGCTGCTGCCTGCTCCTGTCGCTCCCTCACTCACCCGACCCTCCTGTGGCACCACCGCCTAGGTCACCCTGCGCTCCCGCGTCTGCGTCACATGTCCCAGCACGGTCTTGTCCTTGGTCTCCCAGGTTCACTCCCCGCGTTTCCCTCCTCCCCAGCTCCACCTTGCACGCCTTGTGTCGAGGGTCGGCTTCGCCGTGCCCCTCACTCCTCCTCGTTCCCTCCTACCGCCGCGCCGCTGCAGACCCTGCACCTGGACGTCTGGGGCCCCGCCCCCGTCCCTGGGCCGCGTCGCGAGCGCTACTTCCTTGTGCTTGTCGACGACTTCACTCGTTACACCACAGTCTTTCCCCTGGAGCGCAAGGCCGACGTGCCTGGCGCCCTCATCCCCTGGCTTGTCTCTGCGCGTGTCCACCGCGGTCTCCCTGTCTTGCGTCTTCACTCAGACCGTGGTGGCGAGTTTGCCTCAGGTGTCCTTGGTCGCTTTTGTCGTGCGGAGGGCATCACCCAGACGTTCACCCTACCGGACTCCCCACAGCAGAATGGGGTCGCTGAGCGACGCATCGGTTTGGTCATGGAGGTGGCTCGCACCTCCATGGTCCATGCCGGTGCACCCCATTTTCTGTGGCCGTTCGCTGTGCGCTACGCTTCTCACCAGCTTAACCTGTGGCCGCACCCTCAGCAGCCGCAGGTTTCGCCGACCCGTCTGTGGACTGGGTCTCCTGGTGACGCGTCTGCGTTCCACGTCTGGGGCTGCCTTGCTCACGTCCGTGCCTCCGGCACGGACAAGCTCACTGCCCGCACCCTTCCCTGCGTCTTCCTCGGTTTTCCCCTTGACGCGTCCGACTGGCACTTTTACCACCCGTCGTCTCACCGCTTCTTTCACTCTCGTGACGTCACCTTTGACGAGTCCGTCTCCTACTACCGCCGCTTCCCCCACCGTGGTCCCCCGGTTACCCCCCCCCTGTTCCTGGTCACCCCTTCCCCGGTAGTCCCTGCCCCTCCTCCTCCTCCTCCCCGTCCCGCCCCCTCTGGTGTCTCCCACGTCACCCCCCTTCCGTCCGTGGACCCGGTTGAGGAGTCTTCTGACTCTGGTGGCCCTCCGGTGCAGTCCTCGCCGGCCGCCCCTCCCCAGGTGTCCCCTCCCCAGTCCCCTCCTCCGCCGTCCCTGCCGCCACTGCAGCCGTCGCCGTCGCCGACGCCGCCGCCGCCGCCGCAGTCGCCGCCCCCGTTCGCTGACTCTGGGGGTGCTCGTCCCGGTCGCCCTGGGGGTGGTCCCTCTGGGGGTGCTGGTGTGGAGAGTGCCGGTGGTAGCCGAGGAGCAGCTTGCGGTCCAGGTGTCGCCGTTGTGCCGCCGCAGCAGCAGTCCCCGCCGGTGTCCGCCCTTCGCCTGCTCGGCCTTCCGTCCCCCGACCCTGCGTCGGTTCCTCCCCGACCGTCTCCTCCTCTTCCTGTCTACGGCCCTTTTTTCCCTCCGCCGGACTCGTCACCGGCCCGTCTCCCCCCTCGTTCCCCTCCTGTGTCCCCTCCCCTGTCTCCTGACCCGACTCCTCCATCGCACGTCTGGTCTCACCGTCCCTCCCGTGCTCGTCCTGCCTCGCCTGTCTTGCGCTCCCACCCTATGTTGCTTCGTTCACACGCGTCTCGTCCTCCCCTTCTGCCGTCGCCTCCTCCGTCCTCCCTTGTTGTTGCGCCCCCCCCGCTGTCCGACTACCTTCGTGCCGCTCGTCCTCTCGTTCCTCGGGTCCTTGCCTCTCTCGTTACCGACCCGTCTGTTCCAGTCTCGTGCCTTGACGCTCTTGTCGCTGCTGTCGCTGACTTCGCCTCTACTCGCCGCCTTGACTACGCCACCGCTCTGGTCTCTGACCCTGCCTGTCCTCCGTCTGTCGGGGGTGCTCCTGCCCTTGGCAGTGACGTCCTGGAGGACCGCAAGTTCGAGCTTGCTTTCCTCTCCGAGGCTGCTCCCCATCTCTGTTCCATGCTGCTAGTCCCTGAGGGTGACCCAGACGCTTTCGACATCCCGACCCCTCGCACTTACGCTGAGGCGACTTCGGGACCCTGGGCCTCGCAGTGGATAGCTGCCATGGAGCAGGAGATGGCATCTTGGAGATCCACCGGCACCTTCGTCGACGCAGTTCCCCCACCTGGGGTGAACGTAGTCGATGGCCGTTGGCTCTTCAAGGTGAAGCGCCCTCCTGGAGAGCCACCTGTCTTCAAGGCGCGCTATGTGGCTAGAGGCTTCAGTCAGCGCGAGGGGGTGGACTTCTTCCAGACTTTCGCTCCGACCCCGAAGATGACTACTCTTCGGGTTCTGTTACACCTAGCTGCTCAGCGTGACTACGAGCTTCACTCCCTCGACTTCTCCACTGCCTTCCTTCAGGGCAGCCTACACGAGCAGGTCTACCTGCGCCGCCCTCCGGGCTTTACTGGCACCTTCCCTCCTGGGACCCAGTGGCTCCTGCAGCGCCCCGTCTACGGTCTGCGCCAGGCTCCCCGTGAGTGGCACGACACTCTGCGTGCTACGCTTGCTGACCTGCAGTTCTTTCCGTCTTCTGCAGACCCTTCACTCTTCGTTCGTGCTGGCCAGACTCCGTTCTACATCTTCGTTTACGTCGACGACCTGGTCTTTGCCACAGCAGACAGGGACGCGCTGGCCTCCGTGAAGGCAGAGCTGCTGAAGAGACACACCTGCACTGACCTTGGAGAACTGCGCCGTTACCTTGGCTTGCAGATCTCCAGGGACAGAGCATCGCGCACCATCACCCTGACTCAGTCACACTTGGTGCGCCAGGTCTTTCAGAGGTTCAGCCTTCAGTTCTCCTCTGCACAGCCCACCCCTCTGCCTGTAGACCACAGGCTCTCCGCTCCAGTGCCTGAGGAGTTGGTAGAGCCCAGCGGCCCCTACGCAGAGCTGGTGGGTTGCCTCATGTACCTGATGACTTGCACTCGCCCAGATCTCGCATACCCTCTCAGCATCCTGGCTCGCTTTGTGGCCACTGGCAGACACCGACCGCAGCACTGGTCTGCCGCTAAGAGGGTTCTGCGTTATCTTGCTAGTACATCGGGCATGGGGTTAGTGCTAGGAGGACGCAGGCCAGCGGTCCTTACTGGGCACACAGACGCTTCGTGGGCAGACGACGCTGAGACACTCCGGTCTACCCAGGGCTACTGCTTCAGCCTTGGCTCAGGTGCCGTCTCGTGGAGAGCTACTCGCTCCTCGTCTGTTGCACAGTCCAGCTGTGAGGCTGAGATCTACGCCGGTGCCATGGCGGCACAGGAGCTCCGCTGGCTGACCTTCTTGCTCACTGACTTAGGTGAGCGGCCTAGCTCTGCCCCGGTCCTGTTCGCTGACAACAGGGCCATGATCCTCCTGTGTCAGGAGCCTCGACTCGAGGGCAGAGCGAAGCACATTCAGCTGCGGTACTTCCTCCTGCGTGAGCTACAGCAGCGACGTCAGGCTCGCGTAGTACACTTGGCCTCAGGTGCCAACACGGCTGATATCTTTACGAAGGCGCTTGCGCCTAAAGATCATCAGCGGCACTGTGTACAGCTTGGTCTAGTTCCTGTAGCCCCTCACTTGCTAGGACCTTGACTTTGTACTGTCCTTTATATGTATACTCAGACTGGACTTGTGTCCTCTCCCAGTGGCTGGACTAGTAGTGCCGCCCTGCTCTTGTGCTTGCCTTGTCTGTACTCCTTCTGACCGGTCGCTCAGACCCTTGCCTCAGAGGTTGGAATAGTAGTGCCGCCCTGAGCTGCTTGTTTAGGGTATTCCCCTATGCAGTCTAGGGGGTGTGTCAAACATGTGTATTTGTCATGTTTGTATAGACTGTATAGAGTCACCTCTTAGAGGATACAAAACTTAGATATATTTGTGTGTACTCTCACTTTACGATTATTCAATTATTCTGATATGCGCCTGTGTGATTGAGCGGTTGGAGGTGGGCTGTGCGAACTGTATGTACCTTCGGGCTGAATGAGTGCAGAAAACGCATGTGCCTACAGTGAATGCTGCTACCGGTATAGGGGGTATGGCTTGAGTTGAGCCCTGATGCTAGATTCTGTGATTGGCTGATTGGGCTCTTGGGTATGTACAGTGGCTAATGAGGGGAGGCGTGGAATAAATGTCTGGCTCTAGTATTCACTGCTGTATATGGTAGGCAAGGTGTTGGAAATGATAGTTTCAACTTATATGTATTATTTATACATATAGTTGTGTAGGCTTGGTAGGTTAGATGTGCTACATTACTGGATCATACTGCAGAGGGGACAACCCCTTCTTGTATCTCTTCCTCTTCCTAGTCGACTCTCTTTTCTCTCGTCAATTTCTCTCTCCTAGCACCTAAAGCCTCTCGACATTTCTCATGACCTCCTAGCTAGGTTCTAAACTACTTTCAACACGGTACCAGAGCAGGCCGATCCTGCTGAGTCCTGTCATCACGCTTCCGCAGCGTCCTCTCGCCCCTCCCGCCACTTACGCGCCGCTGTGGCGGCCACGTCGTGCTGCCACGGCGGCCTTTATGCGCTGCCGTGGCAGCACAGACGCGCTGCCATGGCATCGACGCCACGCCGTGGCGGCGTCGTCGTGCTGCCGTGGCGGTGTCGACGTGCCAGCGCACGGACGGCAGCGGTCAGCGCACGGTTTTAGCGCCGGCCAGCTCGCCTGCATGCCAGCCAGCGCCGCGCCAGCCATGGCATCTCGCTGAAGATCCCCCCCCCCTCCTTCCTCTGCATTTCCCCTCCTCCCTGCCGCAGCTGCTGGCGGTCTCGCGCCGTCCTCCCCCTCGTCGTCGCAGTGTGAGCCACGCCGCCGGGTGCCTCAGGCGCAGCCGCCGCCGCCGCCGCAGGTGCTGCAGGCCCTGCCACCACCGCCGCTGCTGCGACCCCCCGCTGACGTCGCCGCCTCGATTGCCGAGGGGTGGGGTCGACCCGCTGGTAGACGCCACAGCTGCTGCAGGGCATGGGGGTGCAAGGGTTTGGGGGTGCTGCGTGTGTGGTGTGCTAGCGCCTACCAAGCCTAGGGGGTGTGTCAACTTATATATATATTATTTATATATAGTTGTGTAGGCTTGGTGGGTTAGATGTGCTACATTACTGGATCCTACTGCAGAGGGGACAACCCTCCCCTTCTTGTATCTCTTCCTCTTCCTAGTCGACTCTCTTTACTCTCGTCAATTCCTAGGTTCTAGACTACTTTCAACAGATAAAATAACTTACGACCACAGGCTAAAGAAGCACACCCTGGGCGCTCTTGAAAACTCTGTTTTTTGGGGGTCAGAATAAATGGCCCAGCCTAAAGCACTTTGCTCCAAACAAATCGAAATAAGAAAGGAATGCGACAGTTTGAAACATCGCGAGAGGGCCACGAATCACCCTGCTGGTACACGACTTTGGTGGAATACGGTGCGACAAGCCCAATAGTCCACAACTCAACCAAAATGCACGCCATGCGACCACACCCCACATCCCGGCATTCAAGTGCTCCATGGGTGTGCAACAGGTTTCCAGAAGTCCATTATCTCGTAGTTAATCACTCGGAGGAAGCCATAGCTGCCACTGCACAGGTCATAAAAAAATATCCGCCCGCTCATCGACGTACAACACCCCCCACTACGTATAGAGTATTTTAGCCTCGCGAAAAGGCGACCTGGGGAGTAGTAGTGGCGTCAATAGTGGGACGATCAAGGATTGGCGAGGAGAGGGGGAACGGACCGCGAGGAGAGGGGGAACGGACCGCGAGGAGAGGGGGAACGGACTGCGAGGAGAGGGGGAACGGACGTCGACGAGGGGGGAAACGGATGGCGAGGAGAGGGGGGGCGGGCTGCGAGGAGAGGGGAGACGGATAGCGAGGAGAGGGGAGAAGGATAGCGGGGAGAAGGGAGATGGATAGCGAGGAGAAGGGGAACGGATGGCGAGGAGACGGGGATGAGAGGGAGAGCAAGGGAGGGCGAGGAGGGCAGAGAATGGAGGGCGAGGGGAAGGGGGGAGAGGGCAAGTGGCAGAGGGGTAACCGAGGGCGAGGTGTGGGAGAGGGTGAGGGAAGGCGAATGAGAGGGCGGGGAGAGGCGGATGTGAGGGTGAGGAGAGGCGGGGTGAGAGGGAGAGGAGCCTGCTCTCTGCTGTCCCCCCTGCTCTCTGCTGCCCATCTGCCCTCTGCTGTCCCCCCTGCTCTCTGCTGCCCATCCGCTCTCTGCTGTCCCCCCTGCTCTCTGCTGCCCACCCACTCTCTGCTGTCCCCCCATGCTCTCTGCTGCCCACCCGCACTCTGCTGTCCCCCCTGCTCTCTGCTGCCCGCCCGCTCTCTGCTGTCCCCCCTGCTCTCTGCTGCCCACCTGCTCTCTGCTGTCCCCCCTGCTCTCTGCTGCCCGCCCGCTCTCTGCTGTCCCCCCTGCTCTCTGCTGCCCGCCCGCTCTCTGCTGTCCCCCCTGCTCTCTGCTGCCCGCCCACTCTCTGCTGTCCCCCCTGCTCTCTGCTGCCCGCCCGCTCTCTGCTGTCCCCCCTGCTCTCTGCTGCCCGCCTGCTCTCTGCTGTCCCCCCTGCTCTCTGCTGCCCGCCCGCTCTCTGCTGTCCCCCCTGCTCTCTGCTGCCCATCTGCCCTCTGCTGTCCCCCCTGCTCTCTGCTGCCCATCCGCTCTCTGCTGTCCCCCCTGCTCTCTGCTGCCCGCCCACTCTCTGCTGTCCCCCCATGCTCTCTGCTGCCCACCCGCACTCTGCCGTCCCCCCTGCTCTCTGCTGCCCGCCCGCTCTCTGCTGTCCCCCCTGCTCTCTGCTGCCCACCTGCTCTCTGCTGTCCCCCCTGCTCTCTGCTGCCCGCCCGCTCTCTGCTGTCCACCCTGCTCTCTGCTGCCCGCCCGCTCTCTGCTATCCACCCTGCTCTCTGCTGCCCGCCCACTCTCTGCTGTCCCCCCTGCTCTCTGCTGCCCGCCCGCTCTCTGCTGTCCCCCCTGCTCTCTGCTGCCCGCCCGCTCTCTGCTGTCCCCCCTGCTCTTTGCTGCCCGCCCGCTCTCTGCTGTCCCCCCTGCTCTCTGCTGCCCGCCCGCTCTTTGATGTCCCCCCTGCTCTCTGCTGCCCGCCCGCTCTCTGCTGTCCCCCCTGCTCTTTGCGCCCGCCCGCTCTCTGCTGTCCCCCCTGCTCTCTGCTGCCCGCTCACCTCCCTTCCTCGCTCCACTCTCCCATCTGTTCCCCCATCCTCCCTCCCATTTTCTCCCTCTTTATCAAGCATTTCCCCCATCCGCTACCCCTTTCACTTATGCCCTCGTTTTTGCTCTGCCTTTTGCTGACCCATCCTGGCAGCCATCTGTCAAACTTATCTTAGTATGTTATTGTAGACTGTATAGGATTGTGCCTTAGAGGGTATAACCCACTAGGATATATTCCCCTATACTCACCCATTCTAGTTATTCTAGCATTCGAAAATGGTATCATGAGTAGGTTAGGTCCCACTCGCCCACTAGCGCTTCCGCCCTAGGTCCTAGCTGCCCGTTACCCCTAGCTGGCCCGCCCCTAGCCGGCCTCCGTCCCGCGCTCGTCTCGTAGCTGGCCCGCGCCCGTCCCCTAGCCGTCCCACGCCTGCGCTCGTAGCCGGCCCCGCGCCCGCGCCCGTAGCCGGCCCGCCACGTAGCCGGCCCCGTCCCGTGCCCGCCCCGTAGCCGGCCCGCACCCGCGCCCATAGCCAGCCTGCGCCCGTCCCGTAGCCGGCTTGAGCCCATCCCGTAGCCGGCCCCGACCCCGCGCCCGTAGCCGGCTCGTCCCGTAGATGGCCCCATCCTGCGCTCGCCCCGTAGCCGGCCCGCGCCCGTAGCCGGCCCGTTCTGTAGTCGGCCCCGTCCTGTAGCTGGCCCCGTCCTGTGCCCGTCCCAGAGCCGGCCCATGCCCATGCCTGTAGCCGGCCCGTCCCATCGCCGGCCCCGTCCCGCGCCCCTAGCCGGCCTGTCCCGCAGCCGGCCAGCGCCCGTAGCCGGCCCATCCCGCGCCTCCGCCCCTAGCCGGCCCGTTCCGTGCCCACGCCCGTAGCCGGCCCGTCCCGCGCCTCCGCCCCTAGCCGGCCCGTTCCGTGCCCGCGCCCGTAGCACGGCCCGTCCCGCGCCTGTGCCTGCACCCGTCGCCGGCCCGTCCCGTTGCCCGGCCCGTCCCGTTGCCCGGCCCGTTGCCGTCCCGTAGCCGGCGCGTGCCGGCCTGTACTGCACACCCGGCCCCGTCGCCCGCCCGGCGCCGTTGCCCAGCTGCCCCTGTCGCACAGCCGGCCCCTGCATCGCACCCCACTGTGCTGCACTGCACTACACCTGCTCCTGCACCGCACCCCAACGTGCTGCACGGCCCTGCCCCGCTCAGCACCGCACTGCACTGCACTGCATCGCACTGCACCACACTGCACCGCCCCGCACTGCGCTGTCCTGCACTGCACCACAGCAACATCGCTCTTGATGGCGGACTCTGTACTGCGGTTGACGCGGAGGGTCAGCCGATCAAGTTCGACACGTAGCTAGTCGACCTCCGCCGTCAGCTCACTGGTCAGCGGCAGGACAGCCACTCCTTGGCTGTCCACATTGACGGTACGCTCCCCTGCCCTGACCCCCCTGCTGCTCTGCCCGCTGACCCCACGTCTGCTGATCGTGAGTCCGCTGCCGCTGCTGCCCTTGCCCGTGCAGTCTGGTTGTCATGTGACGCTGTCGCAGAGCTCGCAATCAGTCATGCCCTTCCCCTGTCTGAGCATCCCCGCTTTAGGTCGGTCAGGACTGCGCAAGAGTTCCTAGAGGCTGTTATTGCACGCTATTCCACCCTGTCCTCTGCCTCCGTCGGTCGCCTGATCCTGCCCCTGCTTTTTCCTGATCTCGCGTCCTTTCCCATTGTGGCTGACCTAGCCACTCTGCCCGCATTGAGGCCGAGCTTCGCGTGTTCCAGCCCC